TCCCTTGTACAGGACTTGGCATGCTCAGCTGCCTCTCATACTGCTGCATGACGTAGGGGAACAAGCACACTGAATTTCCAAAGCTGTATTCACTTTGGGGTAACTGTGCCAAAGTCTTTGGGACACAAAATCTGACTCAAATGCTAACTTCCAACAAACTCCATAGCAAAGGTGACCTTTTCATTACTTGGCTTGTGAAACTATAGGCAAAAAATGGAGCAAAACTCCATGATAAGCCTGCAGCATATGCTTATGTCATTCTTACAGGAGCACACAGGCATGTGAACCTTTTTTTATCAGTTTTTATGTAAAGGAAGTCAAGAATCACAGAGCAGACTGTGTGTACAGTGAAGTATCATTTGCTATATAATGTAGTTGGTAGTATGAAATAAAATAAGACAGAACACGGCAAAAAAGAAGAACCATAATAAAGTAAAGCTACTTTTCTTTTCTTGTTTTTTTTTTATCAATTTACTTAATAATTTATTTGCTTGTATTTCCATATTTGCGATATTCTGCTAATCTAGGTAATTATGCATCAGAATATGGGACAATCAGAAACAGATGTATTTATCTCTCAACATGGTGTTAGCTTACAGATATTAAACAGTTTTGCCAATTTGCCAAAAGATGCATATATTACATTATTAGGAATTTATTACTAATTAATGATAATGTTTGTGATCAGTAATGCAAGAAAGAAAAGAAAAAAAAGTTGTTTACATTTTCTACATTCCAAATTGTAGAGATGTAAAATTTTATCAAATATACTTTAGCAAATGTCAATAGAATTCTTTCATTGAAAAGGCAAAAAAAATGAAACTGAAATGAGATATATTTTACACCATGTACTTTTTGAAAAAAGTGATAATCAGGAACTCTCAATTACCCTCTAAAAAAGATTGCCTCCCCAGGGTTATATTTTTTCCTTTATCACTATCACAACATGAAGGAGTGAAAGTGTCAGGCAGAGGCATAGGGACTCTTGTGCATATGTCCTGCCTCAGTTTGATACCCATGCCCCATGAAAAATGTCTTTTTGTGGCAAGATCATAGAATCATAGATTAGTTTGGGTTGGAAGGAAACTTTAAAGGCTATCTAGTCCAACTCCCCTCAGTGAGCATCATTTGACCATCATTGACATCAACTCGATTTGGTTGCTCAGAGCCTGATGTACAGCATCACGCTGCCCACGCCCCGCAGTGGGATAAGCCCGCAGCCATCCAGGCAGTGAATACTGAGCTCTCAGACCCAGCACGACCAGTAGATGCCACCTACAGCTGAGATTTTTCTCCCCGTTGCTGCACAGCGATACCTCGAGACGGGATGTGACTTCAGGTAGTTGCACAAATCTGTTTTCTGTGCTCCAGCACTTTTAAAACACCCTCTCAACGGTTCGCATTACCTGTCGCTTGCTGCCTAGATCTAGACGGTCACTCATTCCACTCTCAGGATCAAGCAAAGGAGCGTCACCGGCATCCCTCTCCTGCAGGGACCCGGACCCGCACCCCCCCCTGCTCCGGGAGTCGCACCACCGTAGCCGGGCTGGCAGAGGTCAGTGCATCTTTTCTCCCCCTCCAAAGCGCTCTGTCCCGTCGGGAAGGGGGTGTATTTTGCTTTTTGGGGGAGCATACCAAAGACGGCAGCTCCCGAGAGGGCAGGAACCCCGCGGTCTGCGGCCCCCTGGCCCAGAGGCACTGCCCAAGGACGGCGGATACAGCGACCGAGCGGACTGCTGGGTTCCCAGGTGAGCGCTGTCACCTTGGGCTGGTTGTCACTCTGGGGTAGTCTGAGACTGAGCACTGACCCTGCACGGCACTTGCCTGTGTGGGAGGAGGGAAGGAGCAGCAGGTAGGACACTTCGCCCTCGGTAATCTCCCTTTACTTCCATCAGATTCACAGTGGACAGCATATGTGACTTTTGTGGTTGGATGTGCCAGAGGAGACAGCCTTGAGAAAGCAGGGGTCTCGCCTTTTTTCCTTCTCCTTGCAAGTCATCCTCATTACCAGTGAGCCTGGCCACTCTCTCCTGTAGTCATGGAGAACTACTCCTTCCCTGAGACCAATTCCTCATGTGCAGACTGCACTGTGAGACGGCATGGGGGTCTGAATATGTCCACTCCTCCACTTAGCCCCAGGTTCTACGTCACAGTGCCTGTCATCTACTCAGTCATCTGTGTTGTGGGGCTGACAGGCAACACTGCTGTCATCTATGTAATCCTCAAAGCGCCAAAGATGAAAACTGTAACCAACATCTTCATCCTCAACCTGGCCATTGCTGATGAGCTCTTTATCCTGGTGCTACCCATCAACATTGCTGACTACCTGCTCCTGCAGTGGCCCTTTGGAGAGTTCATGTGCAAGCTCATCATCTCTATAGACCAATACAACACTTTCTCCAGCATTTATTTCCTCACTGTCATGAGCATTGACCGCTACCTTGTTGTGGTGGCCACCACCAAGTCCAGGAAGACGTCCTACCACACCTACCAAGCAGCCAAGATCGTGAGCCTTTGTGTCTGGTCTTTTGTCACAGTCATCATCCTGCCCTTCACTGTCTTTGCTAAGATACACAAGGAGCAGGGGCGTTCCCAGTGTGTCTTTGTGTTTCCCCATCCTGAGAGTGTGTGGTGGAAAGGCAGTCGGATCTACACCCTTATTTTAGGCTTTGTCATCCCAGTGTCCACCATCTGCACCCTCTACACCACTATGTTGTTCAGACTGAGACATATGCAACTCAATTGCAATGCGAAAGCTCTGGACAAAGCCAAAAAAAAGGTGACACTGATGGTAGTTGTCATCTTGGCTGTGTGCCTGTTTTGTTGGACACCCTATCACCTTAGCACAGTGGTGGCCCTCATCACAGACATCCCACAAACTCCACTCATCATTGGGATTTCCTACTTGATCACCAGCCTAAGTTATGCCAACAGCTGCTTCAACCCTTTCCTGTATGCCTTTCTGGATGACAGTTTCCGGAGGAGCTTTCGCAAACTGATAGATCGCAGAACCACCTCATAAAGCCAACCTTCTGTCCCATCATCTGTACCTCTCACAGTCACCTGCTTTTCCTGAGTGATTCCAGCCCAGCAAATGCTTTCTCTGCAGCCTCCTTGTGATTGCCTACAGGTCTTCAGGTTACCTCACTACCCAAGACATGAACTGGGAACAAGTGTATCTTTCTCAACTGTCCTGCACTCATTTCTGTAGCATTGCTTCCCTTGCTTTTTCTTCCTTTTCCTTTTCCTTTTCCTTTTCCTTTTCCTTTTCCTTTTCCTTTTCCTTTTCCTTTTCCTTTTCCTTTTCCTTTTCCTTTTCCTTTTCCTTTTCCTTTTCCTTTTCCTTTTCCTTTTCCTTTTCCTTTTCCTTTTCCTTTTCCTTTTCCTTTTCCTTTTCCTTTTCCTTTTCCTTTTCCTTTCTTCTCTTTTTCTTTCTCTTTCTCTTTCTCTTTTTCTTTTTCTTTTTTTTTTCCTTTTTCATTCCTTCTCTCTAATGTGCTTTCTGACCTAGGTTTGTAGCACACAGAGCTGCAGCAGGTCCCTTTTCCCTTTTTAAAGGTATTGCTTTGTGAACTCAAGCCCATGACTGTCTCAGTTACTGGTGATTTGTAAAGCCCAATAAAGGTGTGTTACTGAGTGTCTTGCTTAATGATTCCTCGGCCTCTTTCTTACCCATAGGACCTACTTACCCAAAGTCTTGCAAACTTACAATGATTGAAAAAGGCACAACTCCAAAGGATAAGGAACGAAGCAAGATATTGAGCTCATTTCATTTTACAGGGGACAGAGATAAGGTAGTCAAAATCCATGAAAACAGAAAAGAGACCTCAGTCTGGCTTTAAGGAAGAAAAAGCACACCCTGACTAGTGAATAAAACACACAGATGTGGGTTTGGAGCCACTTGCTGTGGCAGTGTGCTTGGTGGTTGTAGTTTGTAAAACCTGCAGCTTTTGTTTGTATCAGAAGTGATGATTACTTTATTATTTACCATGTGTTTATGGTCCATCTTGTTGCACATACAGTTGTTTGTTTTTTTTATTTTTGGTCCTAGAAAACAGAATCAAAAAGTATTTTCAGAACGAGTTAACTTTTAAGGATTTGAAAAATTCATAAATAACATATGCAGTGGTTAGGTTACTTTTAAACTATCTCTCACACATTTGTATTCTGTTTGGGGTTTTTTTGTAAGATTTATTAATATTTCTCTCAAGGAGAGGAAGTGAAATGAAAAAATAAAATTTAAAAAGAAAACACTTAAAAGATTATGTTAATTTTATCTGAAGGAGGATGGAGAGGGTGAATGAAAGTTTCTCTAGAATTCATATATTCAACACTACATGAGGAGGTTTATTCCTCCTATCTCCTCTTTTAGCCCTCTAAGAAAAACCAAAAAAATGTGGAAGACCGAGAAAATATTTGCAGTCACCTAACATTTCTCATTTAAGTGGTCTTCCCTGCTCTTCCCTGCGGCAGATGCTAAATCAGTGTAACACAAATTTTGTTAGATATTTTCCCCTCCCCTGGATATAGAGAGATAAGGAAGTGTGGCTAAGAAATGGCATTTCCACAGGAGGGGATGATGAGTTTCAGGAAGTGCATAAGGATTCATGTGATACATCCTCAGGTTTGCAGGTGCCTCCTGAAAGCCCTTGCACCTCCCACTGATGCAGTCTAAAGTTCTGCCATAGGCACGTGGAAAGTTTCTTCTGCTAAATCCTTCTGAAGAAGCTCCAAATGAAAATTTTACTTGCAGATTTTAACAATTATGCAAATCCTGGTACATTATATTACCATATAACTGGCTCGATGACTAAATCATTTCTCCTTATAAGATATTAATATTCTCTGAGACTGTTAGTGTTAAATTCAACATCCTAGCTGTTATGGAAATAGGAGGTTTCCAACAGTGTCTAGTTCTGCTCCATTGGAGGGTGTATGATTGACTTCCATCAGACACAGAAGCTGGCCTTTGAAAGAGCAAGACCAAAATGTGTTGATTACTCATTTCCACACCTCGTGCGAAAACATGCTTCAAGAAACAGAGTCCAACACTTCATCTTTCTGACTGAAACAAAGCTTTTCCCACCAGCTGTCTTGTGGTCAGTCACTTGCCATGGAGAAAGATGTTCGTCTGTACATACAGCCATGCCTCTTGTATTCCTAAGTCATCACTTTCATAACAACATTACTTGTGTAAAGACTGCATACAGTTTAAAAAATAAACAGTATTATTCTCAGAAAAGGGTTGTTGTTTCCTCATTAGTTGTGATCCTTCCCTGAAGACTGAAGAATTCCTGTGCTCAATTCCTCTTGTCCATAGGGGAAAATATGAGAAGTATTATCCATTAACAAATTTCACTTCAAAGTATCTTGGACTGCTTGTCTTTTTTCTATCAGAAACATAAAAATGCAAACAGAATATCACCTTGTGGTAAACACAATCCTTCCCTAAATTCCTTCTCATTATGGAACCATCTTACCTGTTCCTCCTAGTAGGATGAACACCCAAGAAGAATTCTGTGTGTCTCAAACATCTGGAGTTTTCCCAGAGTTGTTAGTCACAGAACAGGCTGAGATTTGAGCAACAGCCCCCCTCTGACATGGGTGCTCACCTGAATTTCATACATTGAGCAGGACTCCCCCTGCACAGCTGTGCTCTCTGTGGTGTCCATGACATGTCTGGGAGGTGGAACTGGAGCCTATCCTATTGCAGGCATTGCAGATTGGTATCCACTTGAAAGAGGAAGCTGAGCCTGGAGAACCTGGGGAGGGTATTAAATGGTAAGTAAGGCCCCCTCTCATCCTGAAGAGCTTCAGCATTAAAACAGGTGATACCCAGTTCTCCTTCCATCATATGCCGTTTTGGTCTGGGAAACAGAACATTCTCAGCCTAAATGTGACCAAATCCAGCAATTCAGCAGGAAAGAGAGAGGTTTGATCTTCAACACTGCTGGTCAACAAGGATGACCTGATGCTGTACAGAAGCTAAACTTTGTCTCCCGGAGCAGCAATAGAGGATAACATAACAAGGAATTTGCTCCCCTTAAATATTTCTGATTTTTTTTTTTTTTTCCAGAACAGTAATTTATGCTCCTGTTCAGATCATGCCTCACCAGATATAATGAAATTTAAGAGTGTCACATTGTAAGACAGTATAGTTGTTGTAAGGAAGTATTTTATTTATGCGAAAAAGAGTAAATTAAATCCATTTTCCACAGAGCATAAATCTAACTTGCAACAATTCTTGCAGATATTTGATACAGACTTCCTTCCATAAGGAAAGCAGAGAAAACAGAAATCAGATTATATAATTAAATACAATAGAATTTTTTTTTTAAAAGGTGAACTTTTTTCATGGTATTGAAGTGGGAATGAGAGAATTTGCTGTCAGGCTATTGCTATCATGCCTGATGGAAGTTGCTTTCAGTGCACTTTAACCTAACAGCAACTATTTTGTAGATTCCCTAGTAGGTGAGACAGGCCAGGAATGAAAGACTAAGCCTTCTCGGGGTTGAGCCATCCTGACCACAAGTAACCGACCCTTGTGCTGAGGCTCACAGCCATGCACACAGCTGCCCAAGCTATTTTCCCCACAGGCCACATCACATCTGCAGTTTGCAGATTTGATTTGCCTCCAGGTGCTGCAAAGCAGATCATTCTGTTCCAGTCCATTCTGCCTGTGCAGCGAGGGCACAGCTGCAGGTACCCGTGCATAGGTAGAGCCAGTCCCACGGGGACATCCTCTGTCTATTCATTCTCACCCTCTGTACCACTCTGACTGATTTGAATCCAGCATTTCAAACTGTTGGCCACTGCCTGAAAGCATGTAGGAAATTGTGTGTGTGTGTGTGTGTGTGTGTGTGTGTGTGTGTGTGTGTGTGTGTGTGTGTGTGTGTGTGTGACTTTTGAGAGGAACAAGATGGAAGGAGTAGACAGGGCTGTATTCTCAGGGCTGTGGTTAGTTAGAGTACCAGGAGCATACACCTGTATAATGCCAGATGCCTTGCTCTGCAAAAAGCAGGTATGGGTAAAGTTCTGGGACCCAGAAGGATCTGAGCCTCTGATGCAGAAGCACAAAGGCAACAGGTGTTTGCTGGTGTGATTGCAGTAAAGTCTCATAAGTCAAGGTAGGAGAGAACAGTTTAACCTTTTCTGTTTAAGTGAGTATTCGGCTTCCCACATGCAAAAATAGTGTGATTAAACAAAATCAGGCCTCCAGTTTTTTGTAGACTGTCAGCACCAAATGTCCTCAATACCTCGGCGTCTAAAAGACGTGCGCCCCTTTTCATGAGCATGTCCCTATAGTCTATATGTAGCAACCTATGGAGACCCAGAGAGTAACTGTGTGTGACAACCAAGCACACCTTCAGCTAGGAACCCTGAGTGCATGTGTCCCTCAGTGGCTAAAACACACTCTCGGAGCTCTGATTAAAGATATCTGGAAAACTAGATATTCCGTCAGGACCACAAGTTCTCTGTAGATTGTGTTTAAAAATCACCCTTCATACTTTCCCAGCAACAGCACTGTTGCCTGGCTGTTCCTGAGCCGGCTACCCCAAACCCATAGCTGATGTTGACCACCATCGATCTCCGTGCTTTTTTTGGACTCCTTCGGAGGACTGCATTAACACCAGAGAATTTAGGCAAGTTTCTGACTCAGCTCAGGTAAGCTGGCATAGCGGAAGGGATACATCATGCCACATGATGTTTCATGTTCCAGATATGTTGGCCAAAGCAGCCTTCAAAACATACATCTCCTCTATCATCCCTACGTCACTTACTCATTAAGTTTTGCACCTCTATCAATTGTATTTTAGAGACTTTCAAGCATCTCTCCAAGTAGTTTTTCCACAGCATAAAGTTGCTCTGAAGTCAGGAGCAGCACATCAAGAGGAAGCAGGCAGGTTTAAGGAGGAATACACAGTGCCAAAGGAGAATGGATCAAAGGGTGGTAAGAGAAAGATCAGAAGGTTTACTTCAAAAGCACTTTCCTGACCTAACAGGGGTACTGACATGTACACGTATCAATATATCATGAAACTCCAAAATCCAGGTTCAAGAAGTTCTCACACTGAGTCCTAGCAGGAAATCCAGGGTCTGCTCCCTAATTCCTAATTCTGAATAGTTGATTCTTAGAGCATATATATTCATTATAATACATAACTATATAGTACTTAATGGGACACGAAACATTATGGAATTCTTTCCTGGCTTACTTTCAGGCTGCCTGTTGCTGGTGCAACAAGCTGAAGTCTTAGAAACGCTCTCCATGAGCATGGCTGTGACATGGGACATGGGCAGATTTATGATCCCTGTAGTACATCTGGACATTTCCCTGCAGCTGCCTCTGGTTGGGCACATCTGTCAAAGGAAAGTTCATCTTCAGAAAGGAACATTTTTTTTTCATGAAGTAATGTTTTGTTTAGATTTATCCTGCAAGCTAAACCAAACCCATTTATTTTTTTTTTTTAATTCTTAGATGTTTCTAAGAATCAATTTCCTTTACTTGTCTCCTAAGAATGTTTCCAGTTTCTGCTCTTTTTAATCAACTAAGTGATAATTTTTTTTCTAATAAAACTTTTGAGAGCAAAATGTTCCACACTTTTCCTGTGCTTACTCAAACTAAGTACTCCCATTAAGAAAATTTATACTCTATTTTTAAGTCTAATATCTGTAGAAAGATTTATGCCATAAGGACTTTCTCTTAAATGAAGAATGCACCAGTTTTGCCCAGTTATATTTGAGTAAATGGAGTTTTTCTCTATGAGTTCAGATACTCTGGAATTTCCAGAGCCTGGAAATACAGTAAACATTCCTTTTCCAGAGACTATTTGTATAGGGCCCTAATAATTTCAACTGTATAACTAATTCAATGGCATGACATCAAAACTTCTGGAAAGAAAACATAATTAGATTAATTGATAGTTAATCAAAGAGATTAAAGGATATGATATTCACACAGTGCAGGCAGCAGATGAAGCAGCAGTTTAAAGGCTTGAATTTAACAGACTAACATTGAGTCTAACATCGACATTGTTGTCTAACACACACAGCACAACATGCAGCTGGCAACCCCCCCACGTATACATATGCAATGTAGACAAGTTTTCATTATAAATGATTGCTATCCTTTTGCTCATTCTGGTAAGCAGCTGCTTATATGAGCAGCCCAGTCATGAGAAGGAAATTATTCCCTTCTTAACCCTGTGTGAGGGTTCACTGCTCACCACTATGAGTGAGGATCTTGCAGACAAACCCATCCCAGTTACAGTGGTCCCCAGCCCCTTCAGTTTGTTTGGCCTCTTTCTGCTTCGAAATAATTTCACTGTGGAAACTGGGAAAGTTCTTTACGTTGCTTCACCAGTTTAAAGCATGACTGCAACACAAGGCAATGCTATGCGTTTGTGATTCAAGTGAGAGAACACCACTAACTTATTTTTCTGCATTACAAAGTTAAAAAATTAGAATTAAACTCTGCATAAGGTTTATATATTTCCCATTTCCCCATCTTCTTTCATAGCTGTCTTTTGGAAGTATGAAGAAGAAGCACAAATTATCAATTTATTGCTAAGACACTTATTTGAAGCTCTGCAAGTGCTTCCAAAGTATTTTTCTACTTGCAAAACCTTTATGCCACCAGAGGGAGTTCAAAGACAACTTATTTAGCAAATGTACTGAGTGGAAAAGAGTTTCTGCTGTCATGCCCAACATGGAGCATGTATTTTCTATGTAAGGCATCTTTTCCTCAAATTTTACTCAAAAGTATGATAAATACAGTATATTAAAATATCTTTAATGAAGGACAGACATTTCCTTTAATAAAGGTCAGAATTTTCCAAAGGCATGATCTCAAAACCTGTTTGCCATTTTTCTGTTTCTTTATAAGCTTCCTCTTCAAATGTAAATGGTACTCTTACATCCGAACCGGCATGATGTCTGTTCACGCAGCTGAGGACCCATCTGCTCCTGCACATTCCCACTCCCCCCGGAGGGAGTGGTTTGGGGGAGCATTGGGCTGATCAGCAGGCAGAAATAACCTCTCCTCCACACCGTTCTTCAAACTAGGGTGGCCCTATGGATCCCCAGCTGCCCTAGGACAAGGATTTGGATGACTCTGTACTCTGCTTCCCACTATTTTCATTAGCTCGATTTTCCCCCCCCCCGCCCCATTATTTCCCTTTTCTCTGTCTCTGGTTCCTATTATCCCCAGAGTGTATTTAGTGTTTTGGACACTTTTCCTACTTTCATATTCCAGCCCCGAGGTGGCACTGGTTCTTCACTGAGAAGCCATTATTGTTTTCCTAAACAGGAGCTAAAGACTAAAAAGATGTTCCAGAGGGCTAATTCGGATGCTGTGTTATAGAAGTGACAAAACCAATACAAAATAGCAAGGTGAAACAAAAAAATACTGGGTTTTTTCATTGTAAACTACATATAAAATGGCATGACTCCATACGCATTTGAAAAATTTGAAGATTGGTACTTTTTAACAGGTGTTGGTTGAACAAGCCTGCTGAGATCATAGGAGTAGTTTAGGTTAAACTTCGATGAAAACTCCTTTTCACTCCCAGATTCGAATTTTTTGTTCTGACAGTAGGCAGGTCAGTAAGGCAAGGGATTCTCAGCCAAAACTGTCATGTCCTTGAAGAAAACTGGTGATTTTCTTTAATGAAAATATGTCCACGTTATTCTATTTTTAAGGTGTTTATTGAAGAAAAAACTCTGTATGTTTCTAATAAAGAGGAAGGCGTTTAATAATTTAGATATCTGGCAGAATTCCAGTTGGATAGAGTTGGTGTGATTTTAATGTAGGAATAGCCAACAACGTAATGTGTCCTTATAAATTACTACAGGTTCAGGTGTTGCTACAGCCCCCTTAAATACTGTAGTGTATATTTTTGTTTCTGATTGGATGGAAGTCATATAACATGTCCATGTGGTAGCAGATTCCTTTTCTGCAGGAGGAAATCTAGGCTACACTACCTGGCACCTTCAGGTAAGCATTCTTCAGCTCTAGCTCTGAGGTGCATTACTTCTGCACTACATCCTTGCCTACAGAGGCCAAATCAAATCAATAGAAAATTGTTAGAATAGTGGAACTGTTGGTTGATTATTGTTATTTACTGTTGATACTATGGTAGCACCAAAACGCTAAGCAACCTAGGTTATTGTGGTAGACATTTACCCATCTACAGAAAATTGAGAGCTGCACAAGAAAATTTGCAATCTAAAAGAGGCAGACACTTATTTTTCTGGGGACACTGGCCTCCTGGAAGACTGAGAGGACCATGAGCCTGCTCCCTTCCATGTCTCAGAAGAGATATGTATTTTTCTAGGTGTACTTTTCAATTCTGCATTAGATTCACCTTAAAACTGAATCTGAAAAATTGCACATGGGCTTTTATGCCTCAGTCACTGAGTGTGTGTTATAAAACAGATCTTCAGCTAAAGAAATAACAAGGCTAATTTCTGGTTGGCATAGTGACATAGCAGCAGTATGCTATATAAAACTTTCCTCTGAATTATATTAGGTACCTATAGAAACTATTGTCTCCATATGTGATGAACCTTAGAGTTTGGCATTTGTTATCTCTGATAAGCTAAAGCTACTCAAGTATCAGCAAGAACTAGTGGGATAGATCATTTTTGGTTTCTGGTGCTGCAACAAGCGATGGCAAATTTGGACAACTAAATGTGCAAATTTCTTATAAAGGGAGAAAGCACTTAGCTATCATTTTTTGGAGATACCTTGACTAGTTTGAAACAAAATCAGAAAAAAGCAAAACCAAAAATGAAAAAAAAAAAAACAAAAAAAAAACCAAAAAAAAACCAAAAAAAACCCAAACCAAAACCCAAACAAAACCCAGACCTATGTTTTAAGAAGCACTGAAGTATTAAAAGGAAAAGATTTAAAAGAGTATGATAATCTTTCCTTTCTCCTAAGGTTTTGATACTTATCTGATACACCTTTTCCATTCACATGGGCAATGTGTGGTAAAGAGAATACCAAAATGTAATACATCTTCTCAAAAGTTGCTGTTCCCAAAAAGCTCAGAACATACTTCAACCCTGCTGACAAGTTTATTTAGTGCGGTGAAGAGTTCTGCTTACGTTTACCTAAACTCCACTAAAACCAAAAAGACATAAAGAAATGTTATCTAAATAAATTAATCCTGGTATAAATAACTTAGAACACAGTTAAATGAATCAAGCCAAGCTGGAATATATGACAGGAGAATCAATGCAGAAATCACTCTAGTAGGCCCTACCATTGTTAATGATCATATTTTGAATTTTTGCTATATCAATTGCAGGACTTGAAGTGTCAACTGTTCTTCTGTCCCTCCCCTGCCTACCTTAAGGAGACTCCAGCACTCTCTGCGCAACAGTGCCTCCCACTCTTTCTGCAAAGGGATTTTGTAGCTTATGTTGTGCTGCAAAAGCTTTCAGGAATTGCAATCTACCTACTAAGAAGCACGTGTCAGGGGCCATGATGAAAAGCAAAGCAAGGCAGTAGCAGTGTTAATTCTTCAAGGACGGAAAAAGAAAATGTGGCATAAACAAGGAACTGCTTCCTTTGTTGTTAAAAGGTGTTTGTACTCAGAAAAACATCTCGTGACAATTTGTTAAAAGAGAACGTGACCCGAAGTTACCTGAAGTTAACAGGAATGGAGAGAAAAATGGCTCTCAGATGCTCTCATGCTGGTATGCTGCACACTGCTTAAGGGACCCAATGCAATTCTCAGACAAGGGTTATGAACCTCTTAACATGGAATGAGAAAACTACCGGATGCTATACTTTATATATATATATAAATCACTACTAAACACTTAAATAAATGAAGCAATTTATAACTTACATGAGAAAATTTTGGACTTAATCAGATTATTTCTTTTTTACCAAATTGCAGAGAAAAAAGGAAAGCTAGGAACAAAAAATGTGGCTGAGCACTAAAAGCTATAATACTAATATGTACAAGGAATCAGCCAACCTAAATAAATACGAAACTAATCAAAATCATCCAAGTCTTACACAAAATTTCCAACCTTTTTCCCAGCATTTTTATTGAATGAATGGGTCCAACAACTGTGCCTCCAACTCTGTTCATAATGCAGTTAATTTAATTGCTCCAGAGTTAAACTGCAGAGTTTTTAACTCCCTTTTAATTTACTTTCTAACAGAAAATTTAATTGGACAATATTTTAATAATACATAGCAGTTACCATTGCTTGTAAACAAAAATCTGATTGTCAGGTCTTGTTTTGCATGTTATGCCTGCAGAACTGTAGCTACAATATGCTAAGTAGAAAACTACAACTAAAAATGAATTTTCTACCTATTTAGAACTCTGCTTACAAAAGTTGAAAGTAATTGCAGATGCCTGAGAAATTTATGTGCTGTGTAATTACAGTGTTAGAAGCACGATTATAGTCTTTCTAATAAGCT